CTGGCCGTAAGGGAAAGCGAGCAGGAAAGTCTAGGGTATAGCCCTTTTGAGTTGATATATAGTTATACGGTACGTGGACCCCTCGCAGTATTGAAAGATGTATGGACCGGAAGACGTACTCCGTCAGTTCAGGTATGCCCGGCTTTGATGCAGGAACACCTCACTTTCACGAGGAACCTAGCCGCAGAGAACTTGAAGAAAGCCCAGGCTAAAATGAAACTATGACATGATGAACATGCGACCTCTCTCTCTTTCAACATCGGAGATAAAGTATTGGCTCAAAAATTCATGCCCGGACATGCACTGAAACCAAGATATGAAGGACCTTTGGAAGTCATTAAAAAACTGAGTGAAGTGAATTACCTGGTTCGTACCCCAGGGAAAAAGAAATCAGACCATACGTACCATGTTAACCAATTGAAGAAATATTATGGAGGGTTAGCCCCGACCGCTGCCATTCTTCTGGAGTCCCAGCAAGAAGCAGAGGATTTGGAGGACTGCTCCAAAGGAATAGAAGTCCGTCTTAGAAACACTCAAGTTCTACGATCCCTGGACGATTTTTTAAAAGGTCTGGCCTGTGACCGAGCCAAAGAAGTGAAAAATGTGATTTTGAAGTACCCATCATTGTTTGGCGATATACCTAAGCGTTGCACGTTGGGGACACATGACGTGGATGTCCAAGGAGCTGCACCCATCAAGCAGTCCCCTTATCGCTTAAGCCCTATTAAACACCAAGCTCTAAAGGAGGAAATCGACTTTTTGCTGACCCATGGACTAATTGAACGAAGCAAAAGCCCATGGGCCTCACCTTGTGTGTTAGTCCCAAAGTCAGATGGAACCTATCGTATGTGTACGGATTATAGAAAGGTGAATTCCGTCACAGTTCCTGATGGTTACCCTTTGCCTAGGGTAGATGATTTAATCGATATGGTTGCCGGAGCCAAGTATGTGAGCCGGCTGGACTTACTGCGAGGCTACTATCAAGTGCCCCTGACGGACCGAGCTCAGAACATATCAGCGTTTACAGTGCATGGAGGCTTGTTCAACTACTTGGTTACCCCATTCGGGTTGTGCAACACAGCATCCACGTTCCAGCGACTTATGAATGACCTTACTTATAACCTTGAGGAGGTTGAAGCCTACCTCGATGACCTAGTAGTCTTTAGTGACAAGTGGAGTTCACATTTAGTCCGTCTGGAGGCTCTTTTTAAGAAATTAGATGCTTATAATTTTACCATCAATTTAGCCAAATGCAAATTTGGACAAGCAATGATTAAGTATTTGGGCTTCAATATAGGTCAGGGGACGGTGGCACCTATCAGTGCAAAAGTGAGAGCCATTGCAGACTTTCCTATACCAAGAGACAGAAAAGGGGTGCAGAGATTTTTGGGAATGGCTGGGTATTATAGACGATTCTGCCCTAACTTTTCACACAGTGCGAAAAGGGGGGCGGCTAACTAGTTCTAAAATTAAATTTGCTTGGTCTGAGGAATGTAATATGGCTTTTAATAGGTTAAAGCGATTATTGAACTCCTCTCCAGTATTGAGAGCCCTGATTTTAACTTTCCCTTCCTGTTACATATAGATGCCAGCAGTTATGCTGTTGGATCAGTACTACTGCAGTCCTCCCCCTCCTTTGATATTCTACATCCGATATGTTATTATTCCTCCACCTTAAAGCCACACCAAAAGAATTATGCAACCGTAGAAAAAGAAGCTCTAGCCCTGGTTATCTCTCTCGAGCATTTTGAAGTTTACTTGGGAACATCACCTCATCAGATTACAGTATACTCAGATCACAACCCTTTGACATTCATTAATACCATGAAGGCTAAGAATGCCAGAATACAGAGGTGGGCCTTTAGAATTCAACCTTTTTCTATTAAAATCCTACACATAAAAGGCAAACAATGTAATTGCGGATGCTTTGTCCCGCCCTTAAACCAGTTGCACCAATATGCCCCTGTTCTAACTTACGCCTATTTCCTTTTTTGCCTACAGTTATGTGAATGAGTGGTACTGTTTACAGTTTAGTTATGGAGGATGAAGCTTGGAGACCAGTTGCTGTGTCCTTACATTTTACTTGAGACAGCATTCGTGTCACCCAAGGCCAAGAGAGAACCCAATTCTGTTGAGGCAGATGTCTGTCGTCTCAACAATATCCTCCTTGAATACCTTCAGAACACAAGAAGATTGTCTGGGACGAATTCAGGATTATTTTTGTCCTATTGTCAGTGCGACATTTGATCGTGTGGAGGGGATGTTACACCCTTTCGTTCATTTTGTTCATTTTCTTCTTATTATCACAATGGTATACTATTGCATGTTATTTTTGCTATTTCACTTATTATATTCAGGAGTAATTCCATTAGTAGCTAAAATGGATTTACTCGACTTTATAATATTATCTGGTTGTATTACTTAGCTTTGTATTTAGGTAGGTCATTTAATTAGTGTCAACTGCTGGTGACCTGGCCAAGCACCAGTAGGTGTTTTGAGCTGCTCGACCCCTGCTCCGACCGAGGCAAAGTGGGCTGGTAAAGCCTCACAGAGTTCAGTTCTTACCTTCCTCACCTCTCGTGAGGGAAGCTCCCCGATTCCTGGATTTAAACTTCTGGTCCCACATGAGGTTCCCTAGTGACCCTCCAGTACCTCGGATGGTATCTGACAGAAATGTCTCGGACGAAGTGTGTGTTGCTGTTTTGGAGACGCTGGTGATTGTCCCTAGCTCTGCTAGGAGTGAATTTAAGCAGTATTGGTTCAAAGAGGACGGTTGAAAAAGTCATGGGAGACAGACTCGCCTCAAAATTCCTTTAAGTGTAAAATATTCCTAATCTCACTTAGTATATTATGAAAGTTGAATAAGAGTGAATTATTATTGAAGTGTTACGTCTTCTGTCTCATTTGGATTGAGTTAAGTAAAGTGTTATTATGTGAAGAGAAGGTGTTATGATACTAGAGCCATTCAGTACTATAATCAAGATAATACTGTGTATTATCTTTTAAGTGAACTTAAGTGTAAATTTCATGAGTACTCTGTTTTATGGTGCAACCTTTTTAAAGTTAATATAAAACCCTTCTATGGTTTATTAAGAAACTTAATAAAAAACCGGAAAGAAACATTGTGATTGTTTACTACTGAAACCTTGAATGATTTCATCTAGAACAGGATATTCAGTCCTGTTTATTTGTTGCAAGAAAGGGCTAAACAGGCTTAAGTAGTGGCCTTGTACGCAACAACATGGGATCGCTAATTGTGACTCGCGAATAGTAGTTCGTCCAGGACGTGTATGCACGCTGTGAGCCGGGGCGGCCTCCCTTCCCAGCCAGTGTGGCACTGTTTACCAGTGAGCAACTGTCCACTCACTTGCTCCTACGAAATATTTCATAATATTCCATTCATTTTAGTGCTTGCAAGTACTAAATAAGTTACCATGGCTCCAAAGAAAGCTCCTAGTGCCAAGCCTTTGGTAAAGATGTGAGAAATACGATTGAATTTAAGAAAAACATCATTGAACAATATGAAAGTGGCTTAAGTGCGGCCGAACTGGCAAGGATGTATAACAAACCCTATACACCCATATGTTCCATCGTGACCAAGAAAAAGGAAATCAAGGACGCTGTTGTTGCAAAGGGGTAAATATGCTGACAAAAATGAGATCACCAGTACTCGAAGAGGTTGAGAAGTTATTATTGGTGTGGATAAATGAGAAACAATTAGCAGGAGATAGTACAGTGGATCCCCGCATAACGATCACCTCCGAATGCGACCAATTATGTAAGTGTATTTATGCAAGTGCGTTTGTACGTGTATGTTTGGGGGTCTGAAATGGACTAATCTACTTCACAATATTCCTTATGGGAACAAATTCGTTCAGTACTGGCACCTGAACATACTTCTGGAGTGAAAAAATATCATTAACCGGGGGTCCACTGTATTATGACGTCGATTATTTGTGAAAAGGCTAGGCAGTTGCACGACGATCTGGTAAAGAAATTGCCTGCAACTAGTGGTGATGCGAGTTAATTTAAGGCCAGCAAAGGTTGGTTTGAGAGATTTAACAACTGTAGTGGCATACACAGTGTGGTAAGGTATGGTGAGGCTGCCAGTTCGGACCACAAAGCGGCTGAAAAGTATGTGCATGAATTCAAGGAGTACATAGAGGCTGAAGGACTGAAACCTGAACACGTGTTCAATTGTGACGAAACAGGCCTCTTTTGGAAGAAGATGCCAAAGAGGACCTACATTACACAGGAGGAAAAAGGCCCCTGCCAGGACACAAGCAAAATTTTAAAGACAGGCTGATGCTCATGTTCTGTGCTAATGCTAGTGGGGATTTCAAAGTGAAGCCGTTACTAGTGTACCATTCTGAAAATCCCAGTGTGTTCAGGAAAAACAATGTTATGAAGAGTAAATTGTGTGTGTTTTGGAAATCTAATAGTAAGGCATGGGTCACGAGGGAAATTTTCGTCGAGTGGTTCAATGAAGTGTTTGGCCCTAGTGTGAAGAATTACCACCTGGAAAAGAAATTGGATCTCAAGTGCCACCTAGTAATGGACAATGCACCTGCTCATCCTCCAAATTTAGATGACCTAATTTTCGAGGAGTTTGGGTTCATCACAGTAAAGTTCTTGCCCCCAAATACCACTCCTCTCCTCCAGCCCATGGGCCAGCAGGTCACTGCAAACTTTAAAAAACTCTACACCAAAGCAATATTTCAAAGGTGCTTGAATGTGACCTCAGACACTCGCTTGACCCTAAGAGATTTTTGGAGAGAACACTTCAGCATCCTCCATTGCATAACCCTTATAGGTACAGCTTGGGAGAGAGTGACTACCAGGACTTTGAACTCTGCTTGGAGAAAACTGTGGCCAGATTGTGTCGACAAGTGGGATTTTGAAGGGTTTGGGGCTGACCCTGATGAGCCTATGTCTGTTGTTAAATCTATTGTAGCACTGGGGAGTTCCATGGGGTTGGATGTGAGTTTGGAGGATGTGGAAGAGTTGGTGGAAGACCACAACAAAGAGCTCACCACTGAGGAGCTGCAAGAGCTTCAGCAGGAAGAGCAACAGATCGCAGCTCAGAATCTTGCTGCAGAGGTGGAGGAAGAGAGATGGAAGGTGCCTTCTTCAGAAATTAGGGGGATTTTTGAAATGTGGAGTAAGATGGAAAGATTTATGGAGAAAAATCACCCTGACATGGCTGTTGCAAGCCATGTTGGCAACATGTACCTTGACAAAGTCTTAGCCCATTTTAGGGAAGTGTTAAAGAGACGCCAGAAACAGAGCTCTCTGGACAGTTATTTTGCGAGACAGGACTCCAGTAACTCTCAAGCTGGTCCTAGTGGCATTAAGAAACAGAGAAGAGAAGTAACCCCAGAAAAGCAATTGGTACCTGAGGTGTTGATGGAAGGGGATTACCCTTTCCAAACTGTAAATAATCCAATCTCTCTCCTCCTCCAGTCTTCCATACACTAAGAAGAATCGCCAATAAAGGTAAGTGTTGTGCTGTTAATGTTTTATTCATCATGTCCCATTGTATTGTTTATGTACTACATCTATATTTCATGTAAAAAAATTTTTTGTTTTAATACTTCTGGGTGTCAGGAACGGATTAATTGTATTTACATTATTTCTTATGGGGAAAATTGATTCGAAAACCGTAGATTTCGGTAATAGTAGCACCTCCAGGAACGGATTAAATACAATAAACGAGGGACCACTGTACAGGCTTACATTTTACACTCGCTTGGCAGCATGGTAGTTCCTCCCTGGGCAGTTGCTGTCTACCAACCTACTACCTAGAATCAATACAGTTATATAATAAAATTAAATAAAGTGAAAAATTATGTTCTGTGAATACCAGGGATTTTATTGTCCACAGATTCAATTATAAATTAGTGAAATATTCGTACAGTATCATAAAATTAAGCATTAAAAAATAAAATACCATAAAATTAAACAGCCAAAAAATAAAATACCGTGAGTTACATTTCTCATGGTTTATATTATGTCAACAATGAAAAGTTAAATATTCAGCCTTCATTAAACCTGATGTATATTTTTGGATTGAGCCTCAATTATTAGGTCAACAGCTTCTGAGAGATTATTAGCAATAAAGTGAGGTGTAACAGTGGGATGATTTTCACAGCTTCGAGTGTACTTTCCTGTGCGGACTAACACTCCTCTAATGCCACATTTCTGAGCTCCACCAACATCAGAAACAATGTCATCTCCAATCATCACAGCCTGAAAAAAAAAAATGACAATGTAAATTATGACATTTTTATTCTAAAAGCACATGAATTGAAACTTCTTTATGTATTCAATCTCTTATTTGTATACAGCTTCTTCTCACTTAGCGACGCACTCGTTTACCGATGTCTCGGACTTACGACGGGCTCTCTGACCAGTATTCATACCTAAATAATGTACATTTGAGTTGATTACCTCTATTCTGTTTATTTCAATATACAGTACACTACTGTATAAACATTTAAAAATATACCAGAAATGTTATAAATGGTGCAAAGGTGACATTAAAACAATATCAAAGAAGGTTGACAAACTCACTACCATTATAGTATGCTCCTCACTTAGCGACGAATTCGTTTAATGACATTTGTCTTAGGAATGGAACTCCGTTGTTAAGTGAGGAGAGGCTGTATAAAGTATGTAGTAAGTAATCTTCTCCATGACAAAGAAAGCACTTACTTTGGTTATTCAAACAAGAACTCTAAATTTTTAAACCATTCTCATGCTGATTACTTAGTACAGTGGAACCTCGAGTTTCGAACTTAATCCGTTCCAGGAGCTAGAGCTATAGTCGAAATATTCGAAACTCAAAGCGTTATTTCACATAAGAAATAATGTAAATACTATTAATCTGTTCCAGAAACCCAAAAATATTCACAAAAAAATACATTTTATGGAGATTAATTATAGTTTTACATACAACAAACATACATAGTACAATTAGTAATAGATAAATAAACATTTAAATAAACATATAACATTTTTACTTGCCTTTATTGAAGATTGTTGATGGCATCTGGAAGATAGTGAGGAGTGAGGGAGCACTTATTGTTTGGAAGGGGAATCCCCTTCCATAAAGACTATGTAACAAGTTCTTACCTGGGGTTACTTCCCTTCTTTAAGATTTCCATAAAATGGGGCATGGTTCTGTCACTGAACTTGTTGCAGAGATGGCTTGTTTCAGCTTGCTCAGGGTGATATTTTTCCATCAAATGCCTGCACCATATTCCACATTGCACAGATCACCTTAATCTCTGAAGAAGGCACCATCCACCAACACCAACACCACCATCCACCACCATGGTTGCTTATTTAACAGCCACACTTAATAAGCAAGCACCATACACAATGAATTAATTGTGAAATGTTTAAACAAGTGCACAGGTTAGTGTTCACTCAAGCATAAACAAAGCCAGACTGGCTCACGACGCCTGTGTGGGGACGCGGACAGAGCGGGTAGGTGGATAGGTCTGGTACCTGGCGGTTAGAAACACAGGGTGCGTCCGATACTCGGGAAAAAATTGGTTAGAAAAAAACGGTTGAAACTAAGTGTTCGATGGCCGATACGTTCGAAACTCAGGGTTTCACTGTAGTACAGTGGTCCCCCGCATTTCGTAGTTCCCGGCAATCGTAAATTTCGCCAATCATAGGGGTATTTTTGTATAAACATGGACTCGCTTTTCATAGGTTGACTCGCAAGTCGTAGTTTGTCCGGGACGCGTACCCACGGCGTGAGCCAGGGCAGCAGCCAGTCTGGCATTGTTTACCAGTGAGCGAAGGTCCCCTCACGTGCTCCAGCGAAATATTTCATAATATTCCATTTATTTTAGTGCTTGCAAGTACTAAATAAGCAACCATGGCTCCAAAGAAAGCTAGTGCCAAGCCTGTGGTAAAGAAGGTGAGAAATAAGATTGAATTTAAGAAAACCATCATTGAACAATATGAAAGTGGTACAAGTGTGGCTGAACTGTCCAGGATGTATAAGAAACCCTACACAACTTTATGTTCCATAGTGGCCAAGAAAAAGGAAATAAAGGATGCTGTTGTTGCAAAGGGAGTAACTATGCTGACAAAAATGAGATCACCAGTACTGGAAGAGGTTGAGAAGTTATTATTGGTGTGGATAAATGAGAAACAATTAGCAGGAGATACTCTTATGACTTCGTTTATTTGTGAAAAGGCTAGGCAGTTGCATGAAGATTTGGTAAAGAAATTGCCTGCAAATAGCGGTGATGTGAGTGAATTTAAGGCCAGCAAAGGCTGGTTTGAGAGATTTAAGAACCGTACTGGCATACACAGTGTGGCAAGGCATGGTGAGGCTGCCAGTTCGGACCACAAGGCGGCTGAAAAATATGTGCATGAATTCCAGGAGTACATAGAGGCTGAAGGACTGAAACCTGAACAAGTGTTCAATTGTGACGAAACAGGCCTCTTTTGGAAGAAAATGCCAAAGAGGACCTTCATTACACAAGAGGAAAAGGCAATGCCAGGACACAAGCCTATGAAAGACAGGCTGACGCTAATGTTCTGTGCCAATGCTAGTGGGGATTTCAAAGTGAAGCCATTACTAGTGTACCATTCTGAAAATCCCAGTGTGTTCAGGAAAAACAATGTTATGAAGAGTAAATTGTGTGTGTTTTGGAAATCTAATAGTAAGGCATGGGTCACGAGGGAAATTTTCGTCGAGTGGTTCAATGAAGTGTTTGGCCCTAGTGTGAAGGAGTATCTCTGGAAAAGAAATTGGATCTCAAGTGCACCTCAATGCACCTGCTCATCCTCCAAACTTGGATGACCTAATTTTCGAGGAGTTTGGGTTCATCACAGTAAAGTTCTTGCCCCCGAATACCACTCCTCTCCTCCAACCCATGGACCAGCAGGTTATTGCAAACTTTAAAAAACTCTACACAAAAGCAATGTTTCACAGGTGCTTGACTGTGACCACAGACACTCACTTGACCCTAAGGGAATTTTGGAGAGAACACTTCAGCATCGTCCATTGCATAGCCCTTATAGGTATGGCTTGGGAGGGAGTGACTACCAGGACTTTGAACTCTGCCTGGAGAAAATTGTGGCCATATTATGTCGACAAGAGGGATTTTGAAGGATTTGGGACTGACCCTAATGAGACTATGTCTGTTGTAAAATCAATTGTGGCACTGGGGAGTTCCATGGGGTTGGATGTGAGTTTGGAGGATGTGGAAGAATTGGTGGAAGACCACAATGAAGAGCTCACCACTGAGGAGCTGCAAGAGCTTCAGCAGGAAGACCAACACATTGCAGCTCAGAATCTTGCTGCAGAGGAGGAGGAAGAGATATGGAAGAAGGTGCCTGTTATGCAGGGTCCTGCATGACATCGTAATGTACATATAGTGGTGAAGTGTGCCATAATATGAATATTGTAGTTGTAAGGAATAATTTTATAATTGATAATGTGCATTTAGGGGTACTGTAAAGTACTCTAACTGTAATTATAAAGAAATTGTGTTAATGATTTATTTTCCAAGGATGTTTGGGTACGCAGAGTAAGCGTGGGGAGGGAGTCACGTGACGTGAGCATGGGGTGTAGAGGCTGGCGTCGGAGATGCTGTGTATTTAAGCTAAGTTTGTAGTTGTACACTCATTTTGTTTATCCAACTCAAGCCATAGGCTTTCATATTGCTTACCTGTATGTTCACCCAGGCTCTGACATGGTCAGGGTGCTGTGGGATGAGTGATGAAGTAAGAAATGAGGTTTGTAGTGTAATGACGGCCTGACGCTGACGGAAGCCTAGTGTTATGGTGGCTGAACCTCCAGCCAGCTGTGTGTACCCTCTTTTGGGCATTTAGAATTAAGGTTTTTATGTTATGGTGATTAAATAGATATATTTTCCTAATTGGGATTTTTGCCTAACCCTCTGTTAACCAACCCCTTGAAGTAACACATACTGGTTTAGCACTTTCTGTTTTGACTGGGATAGCCCTGGGTGGCCGGTTTGGGCTTGAGATGTGTGTAACTTTTACCTTTGCCCTTAGACCAGGCTCAAGCCCCCAGCTATCCCACATTTCTGCATAACAGTGCCTTCTTCAGAAATTAGAGATTTTTACTATGTGGGGTAAGATGGAAAGCTTTATGGAGAAACATCACCCTAACAAGGTTGTTGCAAGCCAGGTTGGCAACATATACAGTGACAAAGTCTTGGGCCATTTTAGGGAAGTGTTAAAGAGACCAGAAACAGAGCTCTCTCTGTTATTTTGCGAGACAGGACTCCAGTGACTCTCAAGGTGGTCCTAGTGCCATTAAGAAACAGAGAAGAGAAGCAACCCCAGAAACGCAAATGGTACCTGAGGTGTTGATGGAAGGGGATTCCCCTTCCAAACTATAAACAATCCACTCTCTCTCCTCCTCCAGTCTCCCATACACTAAGAAGAATCTCCAATAAAGGTAAGTGTTATGCTGTTAATGTTTCATTCATCATTTCCCATTGTATTGTTTATGTACTACATGTATATTTCATGTAAAAAATTTTTTTGTTTTAATACTTCTGGGTGTCAGGAACGGATTAATTACGAAAATCGAGGGACCACTGTATTTGAAAACTACATTTGACCTATACAGGGGTGCCCCATGTTACAGCACCTTACTTTACAGCATTTCACTAATACAGTACTTTTCATTTATACCTATTCTTCATTTATTCAGACTTCCTACAATAAATATATTCACCACTTACTATAAGCTAAGGATAAAAATATTTCTGGCAAGTAATGTGTGCCTGGTATGTGCATTTTTTCGACCTAGTTCTTTTGCTCACTTAATATATAATAGTGTAAACATGTTAACAGGCTTTTATATGCACTGGAAAGTGAAAAAAAAAAAAAAAAGGGACAGATTAATTTTACAGCAATTTTTGCTTTATAGCCGTAACCCAGAACATAACGTGCTGTACAAGCATGGCCTTCCTGTATTTTTCTAACCTATGTCATATTACATGTAAGGACTAGTTTCTTTTATCACATTAGTAATTTTCCATCAAGATATGGTGATTTGAGGAAGAATGCACATTCACAATCACTGAATAGCTGTATTGCCAGGGGTGTTCACAATTCCAATGAACCTCCAGATTGATTATAGGAGGGCCCCATTATGCAGTGCTTCACTTTACGGCATTTTGCTAATGCTGCGGTTTTCAATTATACGTATTTTTTATTTATTCAGGCTTCCTACAATAAATATATTCACCACTCACTAAGCTAAGGATGAAAATATTTGAAGTTAAGTAATGTGTGTGTGCTGTATATGCACTTTCTAGGCCTAGTTCTATTGCTCACTTAATATATGATAGTGTAAACAAGTTAATCAGGTTTTTATATGCATTTAAAAGTGAAACAAGGCTATGTTTCACTTTATAGTGATGTTCACTCTACAGCAGTAGCCCAGAGCCTAACCTGCTGCATAACTTGGGTCCTCCTGTACATCGTCTTATATCTCTACTGCTTCCTGTGCTTGACTGAAGCAGCCTACTGTGCAGGCAAAACATTTCCGAATATAGTTACCTAACATTGCAGACATCGTACTTTTCCCTTCAAAAATTAAAGTTTGGGCAACTGTATGCCCTACATATATCTCTCTTTCATATATCTTTTGGGAGGGGGGGGAAGAAGGAACATGTTAGTCATACATAGAACCTCTCAATGATATTTCAAATGCTCTTATTATTATTATTTTATTATCACACCGGCCGATTCCCACCAAGGCAGGGTGGCCCGAAAAAGAAAAACTTTCACCATCATTCACTCCATCACTGTCTTGCCAGAAGGGTGCTTTACACTACAGTTTTTAAACTGCAACATTAACACCCCTCCTTCAGAGTGCAGGCACTGTACTTCCCATCTCCAGGACTCAAGTCCGGCCTGCCGGTTTCCCTGAATCCCTTCATAAATGTTACTTTGCTCACACTCCAACAGCACGTCAAGTATTAAAAACCATTTGTCTCCATTCACTCCTATCAAACACGCTCACGCATGCCTGCTGGAAGTCCAAGCCCCTCGCACACAAAACCTCCTTTACCCCCTCCCTCCAACCCTTCCTAGGCCGACCCCTACCCCGCCTTCCTTCCACTACAGACTGATACACTCTTGAAGTCATTCTGTTTCGCTCCATTCTCTCTACATGTCCGAACCACCTCAACAACCCTTCCTCAGCCCTCTGGACAACAGTTTTGGTAATCCCACACCTCCTCCTAACTTCCAAACTACGAATTCTCTGCATTATATTCACACCACACATTGCCCTCAGACATGACATCTCCACTGCCTCCAGCCTTCTCCTCGCTGCAACATTCATCACCCACGCTTCACACCCATATAAGAGCGTTGGTAAAACTATACTCTCATACATTCCCCTCTTTGCCTCCAAGGACAAAGTTCTTTGTCTCCACAGACTCCTAAGTGCACCACTCACTCTTTTTCCCTCATCAATTCTATGATTCACCTCATCTTTCATAGACCCATCCGCTGACACGTCCACTCCCAAATATCTGAATACGTTCACCTCCTCCATACTCTCTCCCTCCAATCTGATATTCAATCTTTCATCACCTAATCTTTTTGTTATCCTCATAACCTTACTCTTTCCTGTATTCACCTTTAATTTTCTTCTTTTGCACACCCTACCAAATTCATCCACCAATCTCTGCAACTTCTCTTCAGAATCTCCCAAGAGCACAGTGTCATCAGCAAAGAGCAGCTGTGACAACTCCCACTTTGTGTGTGATTCTTTATCTTTTAACTCCACGCCTCTTGCCAAGACCCTCGCATTTACTTCTCTTACAACCCCATCTATAAATATATTAAACAACCACGGTGACATCACACATCCTTGTCTAAGGCCTACTTTTACTGGGAAAAAATTTCCCTCTTTCCTACATACTCTAACTTGAGCCTCACTATCCTCGTAAAAACTCTTCACTGCTTTCAGTAACCTACCTCCTACACCATACACTTGCAACATCTGCCACATTGCCCCCCTATCCACCCTGTCATACGCCTTTTCCAAATCCATAAATGCCACAAAGACCTCTTTAGCCTTATCTAAATACTGTTCACTTATATGTTTCACTGTAAACACCTGGTCCACACACCCCCTACCTTTCCTAAAGCCTCCTTGTTCATCTGCTATCCTATTCTCGTCTTACTCTTAATTCTTTCAATTATAACTCTACCATACACTTTACCAGGTACACTCAACAGACTTATCCCCCTATAATTTTTGCACTCTCTTTTATCCCCTTTGCCTTTATACAAAGGAACTATGCATGCTCTCTGCCAATCCCTAGGTACCTTACCCTCTTCCATACATTTATTAAATAATTGCACCAACCACTCCAAAAACTACATCCCCACCTGCTTTTAACATTTCTATCTTTATCCCATCAATCCCGGCTGCCTTACCCCCTTTCATTTTACCTACTGCCTCACGAACTTCCCCCACACTCACAACTGGCTCTTCCTCACTCCTACTAAACACTTGAAGCAATTGTCATATAATTCTACATGATGGTTTATCTATTGTGAAAGTAAAGCAGCTGTCACTTGCTTACAATGGGAAACAAAATAGAGGAAAATAAATACAATGGAAGGCTTCCAATCTCTAGAAAAAAATAGAGACAATATTAAGACTTGAATTCTGGCGGTAGGAAGTACAGTGACTGTACTCTGAAGAATGGGCAAAAATTTTGTAGTTTGGTGGGTTATTTACACTGATATTTAAGCACTTCTTTCAGGATAGTTACAGAGTGGGTGACGGTGAACAAATTTCTTGCATTAGTGAGAAATGGCAGAGGTGGTGAAAATAAATAATAGGAAAGTACTGAAAAGCTGACAGAAACTGAGTAGACAATCAAGTGGAACTATAACAGAATAGGCAAAATAGAATCATCACATGGAAAAGGGGTACCAGCTTATTAATCGATATATTTTAAGTTTTTCTACTCGCACAACCTGACGTGTGGCCAGACTTACTACCTGATCAGCCAGGCTATTACTACATGCAACCTCACACAGCTATCACAGTACACTGACCTCTTTAGCTGTAATCCCAATGTCTGATAAAGCTGCATCAAAAAACAACGGTGAAGGTTTGCCGACTATTTCACTCTTGATATCACAGGCAAATTCTAGCGCAGTAGCAAAAGCTCCCACGTCTAGCTGTAGCTGGCCTTTGTGTTTGTAATATTTCCTAGAAAACAACTTTAATTTTAGAATCTGGAGACAGTAACCCTGAGTGAAGTTTAGATTACTGCAGAGCTAGTGGCAAATGGTATTAAAGAATGAAATTACAGCATTAACATAATACACTGTTTAACATCTTGGTTAGACAGCAGATTATTAACAGTTTCTTCTCCCTGATTATTCCTTTCAGCTAAATAATAGATAAATAACAAAGGCTCCAGTTATGGGAAAAAAAAAAAAAAAAAAAAAGGTGGCAGAGAGACCTGATAACTGGGACTAATGTATTTAATTTAATGCTAAAATTTAACAAGTAGTGTTGTGAATGCACTAGCCTGTAGTTTAATAATTATGTGATACTAGTATCAGTGTCTTAATGAAGACAAAATGACCATTACCTTATGTTGGGTAAATAAATTTCTGAATTAAATACTTCTCCATAAAAAAAAATTTTACAACTGAGGACACAAGTGCATATACATATTGTTTGAAATGGTAAAACATGCCCTTCCATTCTGCAATACTGTTTTAAGGTTTGTTCTCTCCTGTTTACTTGTATACTGGTCATTATCTTTTGCATCTTTTTTTTTTGTTTTCCTTTTTCTTTTTTGTTGAGGTTTATCCCATGTAGTAACTAGATTTACTTAAATCACTCATGTGAATGAGGTAGCCACAGCGGTTTCCAATTATACAGTGGTTTTCATAAAAACCCATTCCTCATTTATTCAGACTTCCTACAATATATTCACCACTCACTATAAGCTAAGGAAAAAATATTTTTGAAGGCAAGTAATGTGTGTATTGTATATGCACATTTAGGCCTACTTCTATTGCTCATTCAATATATGATAGTGAAAACATCAGGCTTTCATATGCATTTGAAATTGAAAAAAAAAGGTTATGTTTTTCTTTACATCAATTTTTGCTTTACAGCAGTAGCCCGGAACCTAACTTGCCGTACAATCCGGTCCTGCCTGCATCTGGAAAAAGATTACTACTTTTCAATTCCGTAACAGTATACAAGATGTTTTCCTGCTGGAGATACCCATGTTTTACATATGCCTATGCTTATTAATTATATGATGCTTAAACTAAAGAATAAAAAAAATGTGGAATTTTGCATGAAGTTAGTAAATCATTTTATTCTATTATATAGTTTTGTGGCGAGATTTTAGATAAGGGCTCCATTCAAAAATACTGTAGCATGCACAACTACACCAACATGATACAACTTTGATGCCATCTCACAACAGATGTCATATTCAAGACTTACCCAAATCCAAGGGCAAAGAGCTTCGGATCTTCCATGGCCTTTAAGGCCCTGAAGGCCACATTCATATTAGCAAACGAGAATGCTTCATCTGCATCGCCCATTACTACGCACGTTGGATTACCTGCCACTAATCCACTGAACTCGCATTCGATCTGTAGTGAAAAGGACATTTTACTTCCTGATTTCATACATTATACTCAATGAAAACAAAACTCCTTCAGCAAGTTGACTATTTTTTTCATGAACTAAAATTAGCACATGTTTTAAGTACATTCTCTATACCTGAAGGTAAACTCGAAATTCAAATTTTCTTTTTTTTTTTTTTTTTTTTTTTACCTGAAGTGTTAAGGTACACTATTAAGAAATTAAATACCATAGATACATATTGCACTGGGAAAAGGCTACATTTTTTGTCTTTTAAATAAACCCCATTAAAGCAATCTATACATCCACACTGCACATATAAAGTTCTTCTTTTTAAATTTAGCTATTTATACAGGAGAAGGGGTTACTAGTCCCTTGCTCCTGGCATTTAATCGCCTCTTACAAAGTGCATTACTTAAGTAGGAAGAATTTTTTTCCCCTTTCCCTGTAGAGATAAGAGGAAATAAAGAAAAACAACAAGAACTATTAAGATAACAGAAGAAAACCCAGACGAGTGTGTAAATATATAGCGTGTACATGCATGTGTAGTGTGACCTAAGTGTAAGTAGAAGTAGCAAGATACTGTATACCCGTTATCCCGCATGTGTACGAGACTAAAAAGACACCAGCAATCCTACTAACATGTAAAACAATTACAGGACAATGCACATATCAAGCAATAATTGACTAGGTGCCCATCATCAGATTGGATTGCTTTATCCCAGTCCCTTACCTTAGCAGCATATTCACTCAAATAACTCACAATCAGAAAAAATCCATTAATCTTCAATACTTCACCAAAACAGCACCCTCAAGAATAACAATAATGGATGGGAACACAGCAAATCTTGTATGAACAATGTCAGACAGTGGTTTTGTAGCTACAGAAGCAGAGCTGTGCTCATGGTGTCTTGTCCTTAGTATTTAATTTGTCACATACAGAATGTTAGTCATTATTTTTGCTTCACTGGTTGTGGCACATGTAATATCTTCCTGGATACAATAGAGTTTTATCACTGCTTTAAGAAAAAAATTTTTTAGTATTCCAATGGAACTGCTGTTTTCAGTTAATCATTGTGGTGTTAATAAATCTTGTAACAATAAAACAAAAAAATACTGGAGTAATAATACTATACTAAAAAATAACATTTATATTAATAATATACATAAAATACGTAATGCAGTACATTTGTTTAGTAGCGACACCATCACAAAACACAAACATGCATTTCAGTACCATTCCCTCACCTATTACTTTTCTCCCTCCATCCCTTTCTTGCTACTACAAAACAAACACATTTTAACTAACCCCACTGACCAGTGTTAAACTTTTATATTTGGATACTAAATAGACTACATTGATACTGACACAGTACTGTACATGTAAACTGTAAGCACAAAATCCCCTGATAATTATAGGTGCAGTTGTAGATTAAAGTCTAATTCTCAGCGCCAGAATTGAACATTTACTGTCATCATCGTGTCAGTATTAACCAGATGAAATGGATCACTTAAATGTGCTTGACGTCATGTACACTCACACTAAGCTTTCACATAAGTAGTAAAAACAGTGTGATGAACTATATTCTACGTATTAACCTGTTCACCGTTTGCCACACTGATCTATGTTACTGACTCCTGGGTCCCTCACGTAGATCTGTTTTGAGCACAGCTCTCTCAGGTAAGCTGTGAGCAGTAAATTTTGGCCTATATATAACAGAATGGCTGTGTGGCTAGTGTGCACAATTTAAAAAACTGACTGTTTGGTTTAAAATAGTGAATCAAAGTATTTTATGTGATGGTTTTATTGAATTTCTTGGTATCAATTGATAGAATGGAAGATTTACTACTGAAATAGACTATTTTAGTTGCTTTCATGACTGGAAACAGCTTGAAATTGGGCTCAAAACAACAGAAATATTAGATTTTTGCCACTTTTCCTGAGGAAAGGTAAGGCCCCTTACACTCCCTGGTCTATTTTATAGATTTTTACTAGATCTGATTCAATTTTTGAGATGTCATAAACCATGATGAATCATTCCTGGTTATATTTTATCTAAAAAATAGGGTAAATCTTAAGAGTTTTTGTGGTAATTAAAAAATGGAAGTTTTCGTACTTTCGGCGTCATTAACTTAAGATTCTCTACCATTTCAAAAGATTTTTTTTTTTTTTTTTGAAAGTGTGGATACAGAACAATTTTAATTTTGAGGGTCTGGACAGTGGAAGGCTCAACTCTTGTACATAGCTGTACTTCATTATTTCTGAAACCACTAGAAACAAGTTAATGATGACTAACAGCAGGATGGACCAAAAGATGTGGAACCAGCCCACGTTCCTTCAAAAGTGAAATAACAGCTGGCACTGGGCTGAAGACATCTCCTTCAGACACATTGAAACTGTGATGATGAAGCTTCTTTATCAGTTCTGCCCGAGTGGCACACGTTTCATTGGTCACAAACCGTACAGGAATGCCGGTTTCCCTTAACCTGAGGAAGAAATGAAAAATTTCAGAGGAATTTTCCCTGCAATAACATTTTCACTGAAGTACAGCATACTACTGTATACTACAGCATGTATACTGATTATACACCCTGGCTCAAGATATTTATTAAATATATCTAAATGCTGAATTTTAATTCAAATAAGCTACAGAGAAGATAAAATAATTTAACAAGTACACAAATGAACATAAAATTTAAAAGATACACAAGAGGTAACAATGAGGGGGAGAAATTTACGTATCCATTATACATCTGTATGATTCTGGTGATTACTGATCCTGACCTTGCTTCACGCTGCGATATATTTTTTAATAAAGCTTTCTTAATGGTAAAGCTGAAATATTACAGTAATTTCTCTTATCCAGTCTCATATTTGGAGAAGTTAAAGTTGTAAAGCTCTCCCAATTTTGAAAAATTCCTAATGCGAGTTTTTCCAAATTTCTTTTAATTCAGAATTTTCTGATTAAGAGAGAATGTTTTAAGAAACTGAATTCCAACGTTTTGAAAAGAAATATATGTATTATCGGTATTTCTTTTCGCTGTAGCCATTATCCTTCATTATATTTTTAGTGTTATCTTCTACAAGGCCTATATAATTTCACACACTTGCTCTGCAGAGAAACAACTGGGCCTATCACAGGGTCTATTGCTTAACCTAGACCTGTCACTCAACTTTAGCAAATGCATATTTGTTCCTAATAAACTGTGTAGAAAGAATGCTTATCTGACCATGTCTGGTGTAAGAATGATGTCCAGGTCATAAAGCTGTCCCAATGCAGCACAGAAAAATGGTAATCGGTTTATAGAGAGTGGAAGACTGACAAAGGTCCAACTGGCCAGATACTGTTGATTTTTAGGGTGAAATTGACAAATCATATTCCCAAATATGTCACCAGACCCAACATACAGAATGAAAGTTGTGAACACCTGTTTCAGCGAATGTAGTTAGTTTATTAAGTTTAAATACAAGAAGCAAACACCTCTTTGATGTTCCACATATTTGACTTAATGTACAGTGAATCCTGGTATAAACCTTGGTAATAAATACCGACAAGTTGGTTTAGAAAGACACGTAAGCAAACACTGACATATTTATTAGAAAACGTTTCGGTCCTGGGACCTTGATCACTTTAACATACAGAGGTAGAAAGACATCATAGGCAGAGGTTGTTTTGATAAGGACCTGCTTCGCATGGGCCAGTAGGCCTTCTACAGTGTTCCTCCATTCTTATGTTCTTATGTCTTATGACATTCCTCAGGTCACGTGCATCACACCTCACTCTCCCCTATATATATATAATGTCTTTCTACCTCTGTATGTTAGAAGAGATCAAGGTCCCAGGACCGAAACGTTTTCTAATAAATATGTCATAGTGTCTGCTTACGTGTCTTTCTAAACCACAGTGAATCCTGAATATTATGGACTTTTGAAATAATGGCCAGAATCCACAAGGTAAACTTTAGTTTTAACTTATTAATTTTTTACTTTTTATGGCAGCATATCTGCAAATTGTGTTTACAATACACAAACTACACAGTCAAATATCAAGGGTTTACAATTTTTCAACATGCTAATAGTCAACAGTGCAACAAATGAAATAAAATGAAATTAGTTTACCTTTTTACAGCTTCGACACTACCTGGTATGGCAGTACCAAAACCTTCTCCAGACTCGTAGAGAACACCAGTAATGTCAAGAAGTAGGCCTTTTATAGGCTCAGCAAGCCAGCTATTCACTGCCATCACTGGCAAAGTCTGAAAAATTTGCACTCGGTTAATGAAGAGTAACGCTGTAATTAAAAACTCTTTACACATGCTGAAAAACATATGCCTCTCGGTATATAAAATTTTGTTAAGCTTCTGTTACTAATGGTTAACATGAATAACTGCCAGCATGAATTGTGGCACTAACACTGGCAAGAACTGATTTATACTTACTAAATTCACTTGTGCAATGATACACACAAGTCTGGTGTCCTGTGGCCTGGTAGGCAAGGGATAACCCGCCCGGGTTATCCCGGGTGGCTAACCCTCCCCGCCCGGGTTATCCCGGGTGGCTAACCCTCCCCGCCCGGGTTATCCCGGGTGGCTAACCCTCCCCGCCCGGGTTATCCGGTGGCTAACCCTCCCGCCCGGGTTATCCCGGTGGCTAACCCTCCCCGCCCGGGTTATCCCGGGTGGCTAACCCTCCCCGCCCGGGTTATCCCGGGTGGCTAACCCTCCCTGCCCGGGTTATCCCGGGTGGCTAACCCTCCCCGCCCGGGTTATCCCGGGTGGCTAACCCTCCCCGCCCGGGTTATCCCGGGTGGCTAACCCTCCCCGCCCGGGTTATCCCGGGTGGCTAACCCTCCCCGCCCGGGTTAAAAATGAAAAATCCTATCTTACCTAGGATAACCCCTCCAAAAAAAAAAGTCAACTTGTCTTCATTGGGGTCCTTAATTATTATAATCAATTATAATAAAAACGAAGCGCTAAACCCACTAGGGTGTATTATAGTCAAAACTAAGCGCTAAACCCACAAAGGTCATACAGCCGCTGTTGAGGTCCTTCAAACAATTTATAATTAATTTTTAATATACTGGTATACATACAGCATAAATTAACTATATTAAGATAGGTGTATAGGTTCTTTAGATCTAATATATAACACTAGATGAATAATTATTATTCGAATCAAAACGAAGCGCTAAACCACAAGGGCTACATAGCAACAATACTTCTAGAAATAAATATTTTATTAAACATAATAGTCAACTCGTCATTAGACTTAACAAGTCACTTTTTGGGGGGTTATCCTAAGTAATTTACACACGTCACTATGTATGAAAATTGTACTGTGTATCTAAATAAACTTGCATATGAAAATTAACCTGAAAAAAACGTTTATCAGAAAAAACTAAGTTGTTTTTTTTAGGTTACCGAGGGCCACCAAAACTTACAAATAATGGCTCCCTGTTTCCCGGGGTTCAGGGAATATGTTGTCAAAATCTGGTCGTAAATTATATAAACAAAAATTTCCTCCTGGAAAAGAAACTGGAACATTAAGTTTCCAGTTAAACAAGGTGGAGTTCCATGTCTAAATTCTTGCCAGAGCTAGACATATCTGTCACATCCTTGTCTGAATCAATAACAGGACCTTCCAGGACCTAAGAGTTGATACAGTCACGAATAACCCGGAAATAGGAGCATTATTATAATAAAAAAGAAGCGGTAAATCACAAGGGCTATACAGCGGACATAGGAGCAAGAAACTGAATTCGATGTTTCGGTCCGAGTTGGACCATTTAGTCGCACACGTTTGTGACTTTTTAGTGGTCCAAGTCTGACCGAAACAGTCATAAGTTTCCTTCTATGTGCGGGTTATTCGTGTAATGTTCCAGTCACAGTATCGTGAATTTTATTCTCTAAAAGCCGATATATGGCGCTCCTGACCAGTTGCCCTTAATTAAGGCATGAAGAGGACAAACGTCCAGGGAGACAAAATGGAGATTAGTCACTGATGATCAGGGAAGTCAAGAGTAGATCCAGGAATCATCACTCCAAGGCCAGAGCAGAAATTGGGTGGTCTCACCCCTGAACACCGGCAGATTTTAGTGCATTATGCGCCCCACAGCCATCCTTTTGGTGGTAGTCAAAGGATTACAGAGCCAGAAGGGTTTACTTATTTATTTAATTTTTTTTTTTTTTTTTTTTGGGGGGGGGGGGTCCTAGGTTCTCTACACGTGCTATGCATGATAATCTAACTATTTGTGTACACCTGAATGAACTTACTTAGTATGGCAATTGTACGTGTACCTGTACGTAAATAAGATTACTAGTAATCAAGGATTATTTGTTGGGTAGCTGGAGACCTTACGACGTGTTGCCTTAAGACACCTGCTGTCCGTGTTCATCTACCAGTAAAATAGGTACCTAGGTGTTAGTAGACTGGTGTCGGTCGCATCCTGGGACGCCACAGCTTGTATTGAGCCTTGTTTCCACGTTTCTGGGGAAGAAATGATTTTTTTTTTTTAAACTGGACGAAGGAAGGTAATGGAATAGCAATTCTCTCTGAATACTGAAACCGAAGCAAGTAGGTTAGAATTAGGTCAGGTGAACTCCTTTGAAGTCCCAGGAGTGCGGCGACACGTTGAATGTAATTTTGGTTTCTCAAATAGGCGTTTAGAAAAGAACTAGCAAACGAGTTTGAAATAAGTATAACGGTATAAATAAGAACTAGCAGATCAATTGTTCTTCATAATATAATGTACCAAGTATATTCATGGAAAAAGTAACAAGGTCAGTATATGGCAAGATGTTCCAGCTAGATTAAAGGCTGGGCTATGATTATTCATCTCTGGCAGCATAATTAGCAGAAATGCCAATGACATCAGAGGCAGGGCCAGACACTAACAATCTGAGAATGTTGTCCAGACATCCAACGTGCAAGACAGATCTCCATTCAAACCCTACCAGGATATGGGAAAGCTAAGTGTTAATGATAAAATATCTACATTTCTTAGAGTATCCACGTTTTGCGTCAACTAGATGAATGAATTGTTTTCCAAGAGACTGCAACCTAAAGGTTAATAAGATATTTATTGGCTAAGTGCCGCCTCAAAGGCGGTACTAAAACAAAAATTCCACCCGAGTTGGTAGGACGTTTACCCGGGTAAACGTCCTACCAAACAATGGAATATCCGTAGAGCGGAAAAATAGAGCTGATAAGAATTGCCTGAGCTTTTGGTATGTCCAACAGGCAGAATAAGATGTGGCAAGAATCACAGGAAAAAATATCGTAAACATGTCACCGATGTTCATGCCAGAGGAAGACGTCCACACACCATCAAAGCCGGAGCAGAAGTCCCAAAGAAACTTCACAAACAAATGGATTTTGGCTGTTGCTGGTACTCGAGGGATATATCAGCTCAAGGACCGTATGAAACCAATGCCAAACTATAGTAAGTTTGGTTTTCTTTAAGGGTAGCAACGGCCAAAGGCCATATAACCCAAGGTATAACCCACTATTACCACTTCCACAAACGCCACCACCACTATCAGACCAATCAGTTCCACCAATCATTCCCCCCAATACAACCACAACATCCCCTATCACTACACCAGTGTGCAGTATACACCAGAGTTCTCTTCACTCGTGCTGCCAGGTGCGTGTGGCAAAGTAGTGACCTTCACGTATTGTTAGTGAACAAGTAACCTGCTTCCCTCGTCTTTGTTCAGGGTACAACCTACCTATATTGTCTGTATGCCACAGTAATGGTGCTGGTCCTTGGCTTACCAAGATACAATAATTCATTTCCTGCTGGGATGGGTTTTTCCCTTGCAATCTCATTTGATCATGTTACCACTGCTCAAAAATTGTATGTATTTATAGTGTTCTAGAAATATTTATTTAATTTCCACAATGGTATCATTAGGTACAGTAGTTTATATGTAGTCGATTTCGGAGGTCATCGTCCAGTACAGAATAACTGGTTGATGCCCTGATCGATCAATCTGTTGGTGCTGGCAGCACGAAACCTACCTACATCTGATCAAGACCTTGCAACTTAAGTTCGCTTTCGTTAAGTTTCTTAAACTGGTTCCTGATCAACAAGTCTGTAGCTACGTTCTAATATTAATTAAATAAAAAAGTTAGTTTCTGCGTGGTACAGTGATATGAAAATCTCCAAGGTCAGAACACACAGGAGAATGAAGACTTGCACCCATGTTTGAGGCTGACTGATGTGCCAGGACTGGGAATTAAGTGATTATCACTAAAAATGATAGGATAACGAAAACCATTATACTTATTTTAAACTCTAAAACCAAAACGGTCATGATAGCCTCAAAACGAGAGGTAAGTCAGTGATGATGCTGTATGCCAACTGTCCTTTGTATTATGTGAAATTGCAGATTAAAAAAAATTCATTAAAATATAAATTCAAATGCCTAAATTACTGGTAACTTACAAGGTCCTTCGACCTGTACTCCTTGGAACGCAGGCGAGAAAGATTAAGCCCAATTTACACCTGGAAAATCCTAGAGTGGTCCTAAATCTGCTCACCCAAATTACTACCTACTAAAGAGGCACGGCAGACTGTACAGTGTATCTCCAAAAAAGAAGGGACACCGTAATATATCACAATGAATGTAGGGGGTCCAAGATTTCTCAACTCGAGCTTGTTCATGACCAGCCAGGCTGTGGTTCGTACATTGGCCTGCATGCGGCCAGCATTAATAGCCTAGTTATCAGGCTTTGATCCATTAGAAAACCTAGTCTGGGGCTGGGGCTGGGCCGCAGGGGCATTCGTTCCCAAAATATCCTACAGGTAGAAATATTCTCTCCGAAAATAAAAGTAATCTTAAAGTTTGTTTGGTTTAAAGCTCACTCTGGCTCACTGCTGAAGTCGTTTGTGTCTGCTTTAAGAAAATCTGGAAGCCCATACATAGGTAGCTATGAGAAGCGAAGGACACTCATGGAAGATCATAGGACACGTTTGAAAGAGCTAGAATACTTCTGTAATACCATCAACACTTCGAGGTACCTTATGATACCCCAGATACCCTCTGAAAGACTTATGCTTTTTGTTAAACCACACGGTACAGGTCAACGATCCAAGGCTGCCCATGAAAGATAAGGACCTGAAGAACAAAGGGCACCTCCAAGACCGTACAACACATTTCAAAACTTAAATAAAGTTCATTACAAATACCTCTGAAAGGCAGAAAAGACCTGGTAGCCAGTAGGGCACATTTTTTAAATCGTATGTATCTCCGGAAAGCAATATTTGGTAAACCATAGGACATTTGTCAAACCATAGGTGTACCTTATCTTGAAGATCAAACCCGTTATCTGGAAGACCAGGGTTACATGATCTGCCAGACAGCATTAGACAATTAACCCCATTCCTTCTCCCACGGACAAACTTCAACATTCGCACTTGGTCCAACTTCTCACCGAGAGTAATGCTTCGTAATGCCTTGCATAATTAAAATCAAGCAGCATCATGATAGTAAGCCCAAGGGTGTTACAAATAGCGCTTGCAGAGTGGAAAGTAGTCAGTAAATTATTACATTCGCGCAGAAGCGGTAAATTCGTAAGAGTGGAAGGTAATCAAGTTTCATTTAATGAAATGGATAGCTCCAGCTTCCTTCACCGGCATAAAGGGAGCCATATCTTAAGGGATAGGTAAATAATGAACAATGTTGAATACCGCTTGCAAAGGAGAATAAAAAATAAATGACCTGAATGCTGTCGCCAGTAGTTTTAGTACTGGAACTTGGAAATGCCAAATGGGAGTTCGAGACGTCATGTATTATACAGGCGTGGAAAAGGATGTCCAGGTGTGGGGGAGGGTGTAGGGAAGGCTGTTCAGGTGTGGGTGTGGGTGTGTGTGTGTGGGGGGGGGGGGAGGAGGAAAGGCTGTACAGGTGCAGTGGTATAAAAGGATGAGCACAAGTTGGAGGTAACAAGACACTCCTCTGCGCCAGAGCTGAACACAAGTATGGCTAGCAAGTTCCTGGTGAGTCGAACTTTACACTGTGTTGCTTTAGAATAGGAATTAGTGATTGTATCGTGCCGAGTGTGTATAAAGAAGCAACTGTCAATTTTGCCAAATCATTGGAAACTCGTTTGTACAATAAATCTGAAAAATCAGTCTATAAAATATACATCACCGACTTTTAATTATTATAATAATAATAATAATAATAATAATAATAAAAAAGAACAGACTTTAATTGATCTGTGTTTAGTAATATCAGGCTAAAAGTACGTTAGGAGAGGTCTAAACTAGGTTTGGCGCAGAACAAAAAACTATTTTCAACTAATGTTTTAATCTAAAAAAGAAAATTATACACAAGTTTAGTTTTTAGGGCACGAGCGAGACGTACGTGCACACAGGAGAGAGTCAACATTACACCCAACATATCACCAGAGGTGCAATTTCAGTGCTTATGCATTTGTAGCATATGCGAGGATAGTTAACCTCAGAACTGCCTTCAGAAACTTCAGTAAGGAGTGATTCAGGACACGACACAGGACTATCATGTATGAAACACCAGCCTGGAGCCCTTGCTCAATCAAGCATATAGAAAAGACTTGCAAAAATAATAGTCTCAGAGCTGAAGGAATTATTTATGAATATATTAAAAGAGGAACAGGAGAGACGCGAAGACAAAAATTTAAGAGGCTTTGACAGAGCAGATATAGAGGCATAGGGAAGACGTCATAGCTGGAAACTAGAGGAAGCCATATGGATGCTAGGAAATACCTAGTCTCTGAGTGCTAAATAAATGAAACTAGCTAGATGCAGTGGTAGAGAAACACAGTTTAACGAGTAGGTATAACAGGGCCTATTAGTCCAGGAACCAACGAAGCAGGGGCCAGGAGCAGAGATTCGAACCCCGCAAACAGTACCTACGTGTTTACAACCTTCCCCCCCTTTAAGTTAAATATGCAATTTTCATGAAAGCGTATTATGGGGAGAGTTAAACCCGTAGGGATTATACAGCGCCTGTTGGGGGAAGGGTGTATGGAAGGTATTTAGGCTCAATTCAGGGAGCACAGATCCAATTCCCTATATCAAGAGCTCCTCACCAGCATCAAGGAACTTCTCCCGAAAGGACAAAAACACATTGGTGGCTACAAAATAATACCTCAGCCTCTAGGCTGAAGCTCTCACCTACTATTTTTCCAAGGTTGACTAACTGATTACGTCTTCATTTCACTACTACACCTACCTCCGTATGTGACGGAAGACTCCTACTGTATACCTGGAGTTTACCTGGAGAGAGTTCCAGGGGTCAACGCCCCCGCGGCCCGGTCTGTGACCAGGCCTCCTGGTGGATCAGAGCCTGATCAACCAGGCTGTTGCTGCTGGCTGCACGCAAACCAACGTACGAAACATTTCAACAATAAAGATGCCTAACTGTTTTACAC